CTGCAGCGGGACCTTACCTGTTCCTCTATCCAGCGGGCGCGCGGTCTTCCCGGCTTCTGTAGTGTGGGCGCTGGGCATGACAGCCGGGTGCCAAGTGCGCATGCGCAAGAAGCGGTGCTTTTTGTGAATGGTAAGGCGGTACCTGGGACACATGACAGATCCCAGAAGCCGCCGGACCAATCACAAAGCGCAAGTGCTTCTCGCTCATGCGCACTGGGCACCCGGCTGTCATGCTGAGCGCCATTACAGAAGCCGGGAAGAAAGCGTGCGGCTGGATTGAGGAACAGGTAAGATCAAAGAACAACTGCGGAAGTAAGAGCGGGTACCTGTCAAATTCAGGTACCCGCTCCCCACCTCCCCAAAGGTCAGCAGTCATCTGTGCTGTCCGCAGTCTCTGGTCATCCCTGTGCTGTCCGCAGTCTCTGGTCATCCCTGTGCTGTCCGCAGTCTCTGGTCATCCCTGTGCTGTCCGCAGTCTCTGGTCATCTCCTGTACTGTCCGCAGTCTCTGGTCATCTCCTGTACTGTGTCTGCAGTCCATTAGTTCAGAATTTTTTTTTCCTGTTTTCTGCCTCTAAAACCTAGGTGCGTCTTATGGTCAGGTGCGTCTTATACGGCGAAAAATACGGTAACTTGGCATAAAATAATTTATTTGCATTTAATTGTAATGGTTCAAATAATGTTTGGAAAAATGTTCGGCCCTCCACCATGTTCACTTCATCCAATCTGGGCCCTCTTTGAAAAAAGTTTGGACACCCCTGCACTATGGGAAGCCCCTGGTGATAGATATATATTACCGTATTTTTAGCTCCATAAGACGCACTTTTTTTCACCCAAAAAAGGGGGGGAAATGTCAGTGCGTCTTATGGAGCAAATATAGAACGGCCGGTCCGGTATTTCCACCACCGACACCGAGTCAGTATACCGGGCCGGCCAATCAGCTCCTCCCTGCAGCAAGACCTTACCTTATTCTTCCCGCGCCAGCATCTTTAGTGTAGGAACCCGGCTGTGACAGCCGGGTGCTCACTGTGCATGCACGAAAAGCGCTGCGCTTTGTGAATGGCCCGGCGTCTTCTGGGACCTGTCATGTGTCCCAGAAGATGCCGGGCCATTCACAAAGCGCAGCGCTTCTTGCGCATGCGCAGTGAGCACCCGACTGTCACAGCCGGGTTTCCGCACTAAAGGGAGGACACCTCCGCGGAAGTGGGAGCGGGTACCTGTCAAATTCAGGTACCCGCTCCCCCTCAATCCCCAAAGGTCCGCAGTCTCTGGTCATCCACTGTACTATGTCTGCAGTCCATTGGTTCAGTTTTTCTCCTCTAAAACCTAGGTGCGTCTTATGGAGCGAAAAATACGGTATATAAAAATATATATATCAAATCCATGAGGGAAATAAGTATTCCCTTCACAAAACATGACTTAATACTTGGTGGCAAATCCCTGGTTGGCAATCACAGAGGTCAGACGTTTCCTGTACTTGGCCACCAGGTTTGCACACATCTCAGGAGGGATTTTGGCCCACTCCTCTTGGCAGATCCTCTCCAAGTCATTAAGGCTTGGTGGCTGACGTTTGGCAACTCGAACTATCAGCTCCCTCCGCAGAGTTTCAAATCGGATAAGGGTCTTGAGACTGGCTATGCCTCTCCAGGACATTAATGTGCTTCTTCTTGCCACTCCTTTGTTGCCTTGGCCGTGTGTTTTGGGTCATTGTCATGCTGGAACACCCATCCACGACCAATTTTCAATGCCCTGGCTAAGGGAACAAGGTTCTCAAACAAGATTTGACGGTACATTGCCCCGTCCATCGTCCCTTTGATGCAGTGCAGTTGTCCTGTCCCCTTAGCAGAAAAACACCCCCAAAGCAGAATGTTTCCACCACCATGTTTGACAGTTGAGATGGTGTTCATGGGTTCATAGGCAGCAAGGTGTTTAATTATTTTGAAAAAAATCCAAATCCATTATTGATTAGTATTTTCCCATTCACTGATGATTTATGAGTATTTTATAGTCACTTCATGTTTTGATGAGCTGCTTAGCCGGGCTTTTATTATTTTTCACCTTATTTCACATTTTTCATCACTGTCACGGTCGGCTGATTTATGGATTCATGTGCAACTGAAGGTATTGATCACTTGTTCACCCTTAGGGGGAATGTTCAGTCTGGTGTTTAATATTTATCATGGTGGGTTAGTTCTACTGAAGTAGTGCAGCATCAATTTATTTGTATACTTTGGATTTGTGGGAACACAATTGGGTGCTTGCTGCAACTTGTACACATAGGTTATGGTCTGGCAGCGCAGGAGGATTTACCCATATTACAGCAAATATATGGACTAGCACCTTGGTGAAGACCCAAGGTGTAGTGGACAGACCAATGAGGAGAGGCAATGACTTGGTAATGTTGAGTGCTGGAATAAATGATTCTTTTAAAAAGGAGCAGTGCTAAAGCTCCTTTAGGAAGACAATGGCAGGACTGACAACATGAAGTGGGGTGGCGGCAGAGTTTGGGCCTAGATCTAGGGGCTACAAGCTAGAATTTCCAACATTCAAAACATCTTGGAGCTAGGTGGCCCAAAAAGGTCAACAGATGTCTCCCCATACAGTGAGGATTTAGTCACAGGTTGGAAGATTTGGGGTCCAAGGGAACAAAAAAAAAATTAAAGCATGCTTTCCAAACTGAGGCTTAGCCTTCTTTTGCTGGGGGCAAAAGGGTGCCCTTTCACCCCAGTAATTTCCTTGACAAAGTTACCCAAGGATGTCACAGAGGCATTCCCCAGCAAAAGGAATAAACAAATGTTTTCCACCAATGCTCTGCAAAGAATCCCCCACATGTACATCGATAGGAGACCTATGTATTGGGTAGAAGGTCGAAACGTGCCCATTGACTCTGACCTCTGGTTAATGGGATCATTGTACAAACCGTTTGATCAGGCTTAGATGCGTGAACCAAAGAGCTGGAGAATTCGAAATAGGTAAGACCACACTATTAAAGGCTCTACACATGTCTAAAGATACAATGACTTGAAACCAGATGTGGATATTGGAGATTATAAACAATTCTTCAAAATGTTCATTCTAGTTGCTCTGCCTGGGATAATCCCTCTCTGATCACCTTAGCCATCACTTTAATAATGCAATTAGGTAGGTAGTGGTAATCTGATCATTCTTCCTGAGAATGCCTGTTAGAGACATCACATGCATTAAAAGCATCCCATACTATGAGCGGCAAAGTAGTAAGTGATACCATTGGTACATTCCATATGAGCAGTGGGGTTTTTCAGCCATTGTGAATTAATGCACCAGACTCCCTGTCCCACAGGAGGGAGAAGAAAGATATCCAAAGCAAAGATGAAGTAGTTAGGCTAGGTCCATGTAGTACATGGTTCAGTAGGCATCTGAAAGGCAGGAAAAAAAAAAAAAAGCCACCACATACTTCGAGATGCCTCCACACATCAATTAGATCATAAATCTGCATTCAGTTTACAAATACCGGTTGGGCTCTGCCCATGCCACCCAAGCGGTCCCCAGGAGGGTCTGGGACATCATTGAAGTCCCCAACTTACAAAAAGGGGCCAATATCAAATTCCAAGATCTGGAGTGAGATTTTATAGAAGATCTCAACTAGGAAAAGAGTAGGAAATGTACATATTAGGTATAGTAAAACCTATATTAACAATTTGTAGGGAGAGCAGAACAAATCTGCCCTCTGGGGCAGTTTGCACCTGGAGAAGCTCAGCAGACAGTGATTTTGCTATGAGAATAGTAACACCTTGGGAGCAAGCAGTGTGGGTAGCATGGAAAGTGATACCAACCCAGAGTTTAAAAAGGGACAAAAAACTTTAGATCCCACTAAGTGGGTCTCCTTAACCCTTATGTGTGGTTTATATTTAAGGAAGAAAAACAAGAGACCACTTGTGTGGCAAATTCATGCCCCTGACATTCCAGGAAATAAGTGTTAAATCAGACGGTAAATATATATTAAAAAAAAAAATAATAATCTCGCTCTCTAATCTCTGAGAAAGTGGACCACTGCGTATCAAAAACGGTTTCCTGCATATGCACGTTTTTTGCTACTAAGATCCCAGTAAAAATGCAATATGAAAGCAGAATTCCAGTTGAATTATTAAAAAAAAAAAAAAAAAAAAAAAAGCCAGCAGATACAAAAACTGTAGCTGCTGAATTAAAATACAGACACTTGCCTGTTGCTCAGTCCAGCGGTGTCCTCACAATGGCTGGTTTCACCAGCCATCTTCTCTCCCCGACGTCATCTTCAGTGTGAGCACCCGGCTGTGACAGCTTGCGGCTTCACAGCCGAGTGTACCCTGCGCATGCACGAGTAGCGCAGCCCTTTGTGAATGATCCCATAGTCTTCTGGAACCCGTCATGTATCCCAGAAGACTACGGGGAGGGAGGGTAGAGGACAACTTCCGCTTCCGATCGCACCAGAAGTGGGAGAGGTTCCCTGTCAAATTTGGGAACCTGCTCCACAAAGGTGCCAATCCTTAACAGGGAGTGGGGGACAAAGTCTTAAAGCGGAACTTCCCCTTTTGGGTGGAGCTCCACTAAGGATTATTGGTATACTATTTTGTCTATTGTTTTACATGGTTAGCCGAGCACTCCACATAAGCCATGATGTGAAGATGCAGGATGGGTCAGTGTGTGAGGGTTTCCTGATCACCAGCAAATAAAATGAGAAAAAGCCACCTAACCATCAGCCAGCATCAGCACAATCCAGTAACAGTGCTAACAATAATAAAATCCCCTCTAATGTCATTCACCCCTTTTCAGTTTATGTGAGACCCATCTGGTCTCTAGTCTGACCTGTATATTAACCCTTTGGCTCTCCTATCCAGCACATCTGGAAATTAACCCCTTCATCATATCGTATGTGACTTGTACATTAACCCTTTCACTTGATTCATTGGTAGGAGGTCATGTAACTGGTTAGTGGAGTGCCAATAAACAGAAAGGAAAGTTATGGAAAATTAAAAGTCTACATACCTATAGAGAGGAACAGTGCCCTCATGTGTCTGCAAGAGGCTGTGTACTTGAGGAGCAAATGTTTTTAAGGATAGGATAATATACGGGATTATATAAGAATCCGGATCAAAGTCATGTGTGCTGAAATAGAAAGGCAAAAATGTAAACTATAATTTTGTTGACATCATTTAAAAAAAAAAAAAAAAAAAAAAAAAAAAAAAAAAAACCACACACACGAGTTTTCCACGTGCTTTCACGTAGGAGCAAAGGAAACTGCCAATTCAACAGTCACCACTTTGTCATCTTAAGCAGGTAAAATATTCTAATCAAGCAAGCAAATACATAGAGATTATGAACAAATGCTGTCTGTCAAACAGCCATCCCCTTGCTTGCGAGCGGCCTTGTAGACAGCTGTGGATTCATTAATTGAAATTTGGCCAACCTGCAGTATAAAAATCTATCCATAATCAAAATTCAACGAAGCAGAAAAGACAAAACCCAAAAAAAAAAAAAAACAAAACATCCATCTTAAGATTAGTCCTCTGGGCAAGGCTATACCATCTGCAGGAATTTAAATTTACATATGTACAAAGCTGATTATTTTGTTTAGAAGGTATTGCATACAGTACAACATTAATGACTAAACAGATTTATGAATGAGTACAAAAAAAAAAAAAAAAAAAAACACCACACAAGAGAAAAACTTGCAAATTAATAATGGATAATATGAAAATCAACATACTGTTAACTAAGCCCAAAGAGAAAGAAAAAAAGGTAAAAATTGCAGCTTACCTGACCTAATGTGTACAGTAGTGATTGCATTAGTTTTAGCTTTTACTTTTTTTTTTTTTTAAGCCAAAAGAACAAATTTAGCAAAGTACAGAAAAAGAATGTTTGCACTTGCCAAAAAATAAATCAATTTCTTGGAGTTCATTAAGGGTTAGAGGCATAAAGCACTGGGTTGCACTGTTGCCGAAAAGAGGCGTTAGAATATGGCAAAATTATGGCCAGCCAGGTAAAGAGCTTCCCAGTCAAATTATGCTTCCTAAAATATTAAGAATAGATCACAAAAACAGATGGGTGGGATCTGTGTCCCTCAATGAACTCTAAGGACCGGAACTTACCGCAAGTACAAAAAAAAAAAAAAAAAAGAAGAGGGATTTTTTTTACTTGTAAAAATCCCTTCCTGGACTACATCACAGGACACAGAATTGGATAATTAGACCAATGGGGTATGACACACCTCCAGTTGATTGGACCCTGGCAAAGCCAAGCCTGAAAACGTAGACCAGTATACAGCCCTTTAAACTTCCAGAATGCCTTCAGTTTTGTAACAAGAAAAATAAGAGTGAAAAGACTAATGAGGGGGAGGGTACCGTAATGTACTGGAAGAAAATAATTTTTATATGTCTTTAAAAATTCTAACTTTTAGCCTATATCACAGGATTGGATTATTTAAACCAATGGGATGTCCAAAAGTAATCCCACAAAAGGTGGGCAACTCAGCAAACAATGCCTAACGAGCCTAAACGAATCAAAGGATCCATCTAGTAATGTTAGATCCTGAAAGAGCCTGACCTTGTTGCAAGACTTCTGGCAAGAAGAGAGGCAATCATAATGAAGGATAGAAACAAAGGCGGAAAGGTAGACTCTCGCCAAAATAGGTACATCCAAGCAGTGACACAAAATCTCTTTAGAATGCATAGGACAGTGGTTCTCAACCATTTTCAAGCAGCACCCTTGAAAAGAATTTTCAGTCTAGAGGCACCCCATTTACTGTGCATCAGGGAATGTGCGCAAAATACTAACATGCAGACAAACGTGCTGCTCTTTAGCAGACCCGCAGGAGTGACCTTAACTGTTAATAGTACCCCCCCACATGGACAAACACGGTGAATTTTAAAAAAGAAGGAAAGGTCAATGGCTTCTTTCACTGACTTTCTGCGGGTAATGCAGCCCAATTAAATTAATGCTTTGCTCTACGTAAAGATGAGAACCAAGCATTTTTTCACTTGTGAAATTTGGGGAAGGGGGGGCTGAAAAACCACACAGTTCACTCATCCCCCAACCACTTCCCCCTTAGCTGCACAGGCAGCAGCCACATGCTGAAGTTGCAGATGAATTGTAGCTCCAAGTGAATGGGTCAAAGCTGCAACCATATGCACTGCACATTGATGATGCATTTAAAAGTAAAAGTGATATTAAAAGGTTATACAAACCTTACATAAAAGTTTTTTGTTTTTTTAAAAAAAAAACATTATACTTACCTGCTCTGTGTGCAATGGTTTATGCACAGAGCAAACCTAATCCTCTTCTCAGATACCCCGCTGGCGCTCCTGGCTTCTCCCCTTGACCAATGCCCCCAATAGCAAGCGGCTTGCTATGGGGAGCACAGGTGTGTGCTCACTCCCAAGCACCACTCTATACATCCATAAGACAGAGAGCTATGGCTTGGCCTCGCCCCTTGCTTTCTCCTTATTGTCTCACTGGCTGTGACTGACAGTGGTGGAAGCCAATGGCTTCCACTGCTGTGTCTCAACCAATGAGGAGAGAAACACCCAGGACAGCTGAGGCTCCTGTGCACATCTCTGGATCAAGAGTGGGCTCAAGTATTAGGGGCAGATGTGGGGGGGGAGCAGCACACAAGTTATTTACCTTCACATCTTTAATCCAAAAACAGGTGTTGAGGTGGTGAAATATCACCTGTTCACCGCCTGTCAAATGCCTCAGTCTCGTCTAAATGCTTTCCTCTACCTGGATACCACGGCACCCCAGTTTAGAAAGGCTGTTCTAGGAGTAGAACAAAGTGATGGCAAAACAATGTCCTGTTTAATGTGTAAAGAAATCACCTTGAGCAAAAAGGAGAAAGGCCTGAGGCGTAAGAACTCCCTTAACGTTTTGAACAAGCGACTTTTCCTAATGGGATAATGCCTCCAATTCATAAACTCGAGCTGAAGTAATGTCACAAAGAAGGCAATGTTCTGAATAAGAACAGGAAGTTGAGATATTCCTAAATAGGTTCAGCTGGCACTTTCTGGAGGACCTACAAAACCAAGTTTACGTTCCTAGTGTCAGAGGACAAAGGAAGAAAATATGTGAACCTCTAAAAAAGGCTCTCACTAATGTTGGAGAAGCCAAAGGCCTCTCAAAGAGGACCGCTAGAGTAGAGATATGACTCTTAATGGCACTTAAAGAGTAACTCCATGCTTACTGTGTCTTTAAATTGTTTGTTTGAATCAAGCTTACCCAAATTAACCATTTCCTTTACTAAACATATGTTAAACCCTGCTGCACAAGATCCTTTGCATGTAACCCATTGCTTTTAAGCATTTAATAAAACTGACTATTTTAACTCTGGACTCTGAGGGTCTAATTTTATTGTCAGTTTGGTTAAGCACTCCTTTCATGGTGTGTTACTAACATATGTGCCTGCTGGGTGCGCTCTGTATAAACTGCATGAATACATGGCTACCTTTGATTAGCTGAGACAGTGATCACAAAATCCTCCATAGACACAAATATAGTGGAAAAGTGTACCTTAAAAAGGGGAAAGAACTCCCTTGGGGTTCACAAGAACTCGTGGGAGCAAGGAGAGGGAGAAATCCAGACAGAGTTCACCAAGGGAATAATAGGAGTTAACACTCCATTTGCAGGTACATTCCCTCTAGGTACGAAAGACCAAGTGAGAGAGAGCGGTAACAAAACCCTTAAAAGGCCCATATAACAAAAACAGTACCACATGAGGCAAGAGGACCCTAATACGCCTGAAGCAGACATAAATGAGACTTGAAAAAACACTTGGTAAATCTAAGATTTAAATGTATAAGCGGAAGATAGGGTGGCAGCCTTAAAAATCTGGGAAACCATTGACTAATGCCAAAGAGGCACTCACTTACCTAGTACAATGAACCTTGATCTGTCTGGGCAATGATCTGTCTGGGCCACTAAGAAACGGTGAAGTGAAAAGCTGTTTCTTCTTTACAGGGGGGCCAACAGGAAAAATAATGGAAGCAGTGGCTGAAAGGAAACCAGTACAGCACAAAATACACTCAGGCAGTGAAGGGAAATTTTCTCCCCGTGTACTAGGGTCAGACAGAGGTGGAAGAATAACTTCTTGGCTGAGGTGAAAATAAGAAACCATCTTAAAAAAAAAGAGGCTGTAGACCTTAATACTATCTTTTTTTATTAGTAGAACCAAACAGGGTTCTGTAGAAGACAAAACTGCCAGCTTCGATAAATGCCCTTTAGATGTGATGACAAGGAGGAAGGCAACTGTGGAGAGCGTAGAAAGAGGGATTTCTCTGATGGGTTTAAAGGGAATTTTTTGAAGAGCTAAGAGAACAATGTTCAAATCCCATGGAGCCTCAAGTGGCTGAACAAGAGGAGCTGTATGTACATGGGTGTTAAAACAAACAATGGGAGGCTAGGGGTCTTTGAAATAACATTGCAAGGCCTGAAATGCCCTATGATATTTGGGGCCAAATATTAATCCTGACCCAATTGCAGAAAGGTCAGGACACGTATCGTGGAGTATGTACTGGGATGTAATCTACTTTCCTCATGTAAAAAAATAAGCCTTCCATGTTTGATGGTAAACCTTGCAGGATTTTAACGTGAGCTTTTTAAAAAGTGTGGGAATTACTGAGTCAGAGACCTCTGTCTCTCAAGTTCTGGGCTCAAAGTAAAGTGGCTAAAGTAAAAAAAAAAAAAAAAAAAAAAAAAAAAAAAAAAAAAAGGACTAAATCTTCCCTGAGGCCACTCCGACTCAACAGGTTGGGTGTGACCCCAGAGAGACCCAACATTCATCCGCTCTCCCAGCTGAATGGCAAGGATTACAAACATGAGCCAGGTTTTTCAATAGCATCTCTCAAGTCTTATCTTGGACAGTGTGCAGTGGAAACATGAACATGTAGCTCTAAGAACGCACATCCCAGGGAGTAACTACACTTTCCTCAGCACAACCATCACACCTCCAAATCACTTCCCAATCACTTGGGAAGTCCGATATATCACATCACATGCTGCTCCAGGCAACATAAGGCTTCACACGAATGATCACATATCAGCTACTGGCTCATTATGTCCCCACTGAAGCAAACAATTGTACCAGCAAAAAGCACCACAAGTTGAAATGCAAAATATTCCTACTTTAACCACTTCAACCCCTTTACCCGTATGTCCTCAGATTGAAACAGTTTATACCAGGATGATGACTGCACCGGCATGCATCATCTCAGTATCAAAATTTTCAGCAGGCAATAAGCTTTCATATAGAAGTGATCTAAGCAGCTATAGAGCAGGGCAGTCATAAAGGGACATTTGTTAAAGATAGTTATTAAGAGGGTCGTACAATAAATTACCGTATCACCCAGTAAATGGTCTCCATTCAGTAGCCAAAAAAGGCATGCAAAAAAAGAGGGGTTGTGAAAAGAAATTCACAAAGAAAGCGGCTACATTATGAACAGAATGTGATACTCAGAAAAATTTCCAAAAATTATGCTTTATTACACATACAAATTTGACATATGGGCAATCGCCCTGGTTTACCATCACCTCAGTATGAGAGACAATACACACAGACCTAAAACCATATAAAATGACACCAGTACCGGTCTAAATGCATGTGCAACAAGGACAATGACTACAAGAGTCTAAAGTCCCTGTAGCACTGGCGCATAGGTGAACACTTCCCAAAGGAGGTGTATACAAAAATTATACCATAGGTATACCATAACACGTGTTATAAATATGTAGACTAAGCTACTACCAGAATGGTTATATCCCAAACAGGGAGTTTCAAAAAATTATACCATAGATATAAATATCACATGTATGCAATGCAGCAAGCACAGTATGCGTCAAAAAAGGCATGCCTCTAGGCCTATACGAGACAAAACATAAATGTCATGTAAACGATGCAACACATTCCTATGCCGGCACAAGTGGTTGGGGCCCATTCATCTGCGATTATTACCAGCTGTTTCCTAGAGCTCTTGAATAAAAATATGCCCCATTTTTTACCAGGATGGAAGGATAGATGCATAAAGCAGCGCACTGCTTGAAATGGTTTCTTCACCACTGCATGTGGACTACATACCACTTTCTGTGAGAGAAAACAAGACACATCCCAATAGATCTTCTGCCTGTTGAAATACATGTGGTTTAACATTTTTGGATAAATAGATCTACATAGTTATGTACCCTCTTTCACTAATATTGCCATCTTCTGGTGAAAATGTGGTAATGTCTCAACTGATCATTATATTTAATCTATGGTCTTTCGATTTATATATGTATTGTTAAAATTGCTAAGCCTTTCCTTTCTTTGATACTTCCAGTCGCCTGCTTTTTAATTGTATTCAATAATGACCAGCAGCTGTGCTAAGTATTTAGCCCCTTTTTTTTCTCTCCATTGGGAATAGCTGCAAGCTAGTTTTTGCATAAATGGGTGGGTCTTAACCCACTATAAATAGGAAATTGAAATGCAGTTGTCTCATTGGTCCTGACGAAGCTGAGTGGGATACGCCCATCGGCGAAACGCGTTGACGTCATACGTCAGATACGTCACTTCCAGTCATGCGCATTAGGTGGAACGCACGCTGACCTACAAGGAGGAAGCCATTTTCACATGCCATGAGGCAAGCCTAGGCAGCACAGGCGCCGAGAAGAGGCTGGAACCCGCGGTATATCGGCGGATGTCAGCGGTGGTTCCTTGGCCTCCCCGGCCTTGTATGGCAGCACCTATGAAGGATATTCTTTCCTCTCCTGGTATCCATTGCACAGGTGGTGAGTGGACTGTTGCAGGACACTAGATATATGGTCCTATGTGACATATATGACCTATATATCCTATACAGAGTGAAAGCTCTTTCAGTGACTTTCCACATATTGTTTGTTTCACTACAGGATGGGGACATCATGGTGCTTTATATAAGAAACAAGATATACCACATGTATTTCTCACAGAAAGTGGTATGTAGTCCACATGCAGTGGTGAAGAAACCATTTCAAGCAGTGCGCTGCTTTATGCATCTATCCTTCCATCCTGGTAAAAAATGGGGCATATTTTTATTCAAGAGCTCTAGGAAACAGCTGGTAATAATCACAGATGAATGGGCCCCAACCACTTGTGCCGGCATAGGAATGTGTTGCATCATTTACATGACATTTATGTTTTGTCTCGTATAGGCCTAGAGGCATGCCTTTTTTGACGCATACTGTGCTTGCTGCATTGCATACATGTGATATTTATATCTATGGTATAATTTTTTGAAACTCCCTGTTTGGGATATAACCATTCTGGTAGTAGCTTAGTCTACATATTTATAACACGTGTTATGGTATACCTATGGTATAATTTTTGTATACACCTCCTTTGGGAAGTGTTCACCTATGCGCCAGTGCTACAGGGACTTTAGACTCTTGTAGTCATTGTCCTTGTTGCACATGCATTTAGACCGGTACTGGTGTCATTTTATATGGTTTTAGGTCTGTGTGTATTGTCTCATACTGAGGTGATGGTAAACCAGGGCGATTGCCCATATGTCAAATTTGTATGTGTAATAAAGCATAATTTTTGGAAATTTTTCTGAGTATCACATTCTGTTCATAATGTAGCCGCTTTCTTTGTGAATTTCTTTTCACAACCCCTCTTTTTTTGCAGTCATAAAGGGAACCAACTCCGATAAAGATAGGATCTGGAGAAGGGGCAAAGCAGAGAAGGCAGTATTAAAGCAGTTGTCCAAGGGATTTTAACAGATGCAAAAAAATGTTGATTTTGTCAGGGAGGTTGCTTACCGAGTGCCTGAAAAACAGGTTTCTGCTCCGATGCAGGCATTTTGCAATGACGATAAGTCCCCACTCACCTCTAGCTGCTTTTAAAGGTAGAGTTATTAATTTTCTAAGGCCCTTACAATCACAGCAAGTATTTCAGTTTCTAAAAGCAAAAACCAAAAAAAAAAAAAAAAAAAAAAAAAAAAAAAAAAAAAGAAGAAGAGCTGAATGTGACTTTCCTATATATGAGCTTCATTTTTCCAAACTCTGGTGAGAAAGTGTTATCTTTTCAGTTTTACTATACTTGAGGCAACATACACACATTCTACTTCTTGCCATCAAATTATTCTATAATGTCACTAACTGATAAAACATAAGACTAACTGATAAAACATAAGGCTTACGCAGAAGGTTATTTCAAGCAGGTCACCACTAATCAATATTCGGAAACACCAACTGCCAATTTGTAAAGCACATGTACCTGTATTTCATATTGGTGCAATGCTGTCTGCAGACTGGTTCATGGTACTCCAGTTCTTCAAATACCACAGGACTGCAGGTGGAGGATGAGCCATCATGTGACTGAGAAGACCCCAAAGGACTTTGCCTTGCCTGAAAACTTGGTAGCAGACAGACCAGTCTTCCACTCCCCTGGTCACGGATAGTAACTGTGTCTGTTAATCTGTACAGGTCCGACACAATCAGCTTGCTGCCAAACCTAGAAAAATAACAAATGCTTAGTGTATTGTAGGATTTGTCTAAACAAAACATAAATTAGCATCATAGCACCACCCTACCCGTGCCCTTCGCTCCTCACAGGACCTCCTACTCACCAGCTCCCTGGTCTCCTCCTCCCATGCCCGACTGCAGGACTTCCCCCATCCTCTGGAACTCCCTACCCCAATCCATCAGACTGTCGCCTACCCTCCCCACCTTTAGGCGCACCCTGAAAACCCATCTCTTCAGGGAAGCCTACCCCACCCTCACCTAACAACCAACCAATCTCCTCCAACCACTCCATCCCCCACAGCCACTTCCATCTGTTCCACTATCCCCTCCCTCCTAGATTGTAAGATCAAAAGAGCAGGGCCCTCGAACCCCTCGTGTATTGTATTGTACTGTGTTGTCTCATGTTCTGTCCCCTCGCTAACGTACAGAGCTGAGCAAACCCTTTGGCGCTATATAAACACTGTATAATAATAATAATTTAAAGAAGAAAAAAAAAATCCTGACCTTTGACCCGGCCTTGACCCAAACACTAACCCTGGCACTGAACCTAGATCAAATCTTGATCTAGGTATTTTTAGCAGTTTTCCCCCCCTCTAGGCAAGGGGAGAGAGATGCAATGTAACTCCCTCCTCCATTCAGAAAGAAAAAAACAAAAAACAAAACAAAAAAAAAAACACAAGGGGGGGCGGGTTGTACAGCGATTGATCACTGTAATAGTCAAAGGCTACCACAACGATCAAGTGACCCGGAATCGGGAGTCCCGGGTCTCGATCGTTAGAACAGGACCCGGGGCTCTTAGTGAGAGCTGTGTGGCACACTCCCAGCACAAAGACAGATACGCAAATATGCGGCCCCACAGAAAAAAGCCCAGTTCTGTGAGGCCACATATTTGTGTGATATCGGTGGGAAGGGGTTAAAATCTTACTTTTCAAAAGGGGTGCAATTATTTATGCTGAGCAGTGCTGAGCACTGTATATATTATATTATTCTACCCTTCAGGACTTGGGTTTCATCAGCCATGCTGTTAAAGCCAGAGACTGAGAAGCAGGGTGAAATGGAAAAAGGTGGTGGTGGCGGCGGGTGCTTGTACCAGTAAACCTTGCATCTTTGGAAAGACAAAGCTGTTCCAGTAGGAGTCATTAAGTCCGTGTAACACCTTCGCCAACTGTGTGATGGGAATTACTGAAATCTTTTTTCACCTTGGGCAGCAGTCAACAGAAAATCTTTACTAGAGGAAAGGCGTAGATCAGCTTGAATAGAGTTCAAGGAGCCACTTGAGCATCCACTGGAAAGACTAGAGGAGGCAAGATGTCCACATCTGGATACCCCACTGGTGACTATTTCTGGAAGTTTTCAGAGTGTAGAGACCACTCCCCTGTGTCTTTGATAGCTTATATAGTTTGTCTGCCAATTGTCCACACAAGGAATGCAGAGAGTAGGGATGAGAATCAATCCCATTTCTCTCAGGGCAGCTCGATTTCTGGTATCCCTTTGATGGTTAAATGTTGGCTACTACACTGTCATTGTTAGACTGTATACAAACACACTCCAAGGTTCCAAAGAAAAAATGCTCCACTTAGCACACAAATCACAGCAGCCTCTAGGGAACGATGTTACCAAGTTCTGGCTCCCTGGAGATTGCCCCTGTGATCTGAATAGAAAGTGGAGAATTGCTCTTTATTCAGGGTAACTAGTGGACTCTGACTGCTCTGGGGATTGAAGACATATTGATGGATTAGAACATGACATGCGCTGTTTGACCATCTGATTTAGTTAAATTGTCAAATTTAAAGGGCGAGTGGATTACTAATTGAGGGTGTGTAAGAAAGAATCTAGTGAATTTCACAGAGGAGGGAGTCATCCATATTTTTTGGAGTGGATATATCGCTTTTTTTTCAATTATACAGAGGAGTGTGTGTTGTCACTCTTTCACTGTGGGGTGCATAGTTTCTCATTTTGGAGCATAGTGGACTTTGACCTATTATGTGTTGAATATTTTAAAAGAATAAGTTCACCTTTCTTAATATGTTACATCCATATTTCGGGTGTAACATTACATTTTCCGATCAACCCAGCCCCTGCTCCTCCCTGTTGTGAAAGCTAGCAGGGGATCTTCTGCCCACTAGCGGTTACAATTTAAAAAAGAAAAAACGCGGCCATGCTGGACTCCGCCTGCACAGCCGCGTCATTCATTCCAGGTGTGCTTTGAATGAATGAACTTGGCGAATCTTAGTGGCTATCGGCTTGTAGTTCTTAATGAACTACCATGGCACCGTAGTAGTTAACTGAATCTTCCTGTCAGTATCTGCTAGCCTGTACATCCCTTACAGAAAAGCAGATATACTGACATGTCTGCAGGAGACCTGCATGGCAATGCTTTAGAGCAGCGGTTCTCAACCTGGGGGTCGCGACCCCTTTGGGGGGTCGAACGACCATTTCCCAGGGGTCGCCTAAGACCATCGGAAAACACATATGTCCGATGGTCTTAGGAACCGAGACACCGCTGCTGTCTCCGGCGATGTGTGGGCGGGATGATATGCTGCCCCTGTCACCGCCTCCTCGCCGCTGATTGGCCACCGGAACTGTAGCTCAGGAGAGGCACACAGGCGGCCAATCACCGGCGAGAAGGTGGAGCTTGGAGAGGAGGAGCCGAGCGGCAGCGCGCGGAGATCGAAGAAGATCGAGGGAGCTGCAGGAACGAGTGAAGAGAGAGGCCAGAGAAGGAAGACAGCTGACAGGTAAGTGCAAATTTTGCTGCTGCAGCCAGGTATGCAGGCTGTAGATGGGAGAGGGAGAGAGAGCGAGCCCAGGCTGGAGCAGGAGTCAGCAAGGTAAGTATCATTGGTGTCAGTGGGAGGAATAGTGACCCATCATTTGTGTCACTAATACCAACGATGGGGCACTATTCCTCCCCCACTGACACCAACGATGGGGCACTATTCCTCCCCCCACTGACACCAACGATGGGGCACTATTCCTCCCCCCACTGACACCAACGATGGGGCACTATTCCTCCCCCCACTGACACCAACGATGGGGCACTATTCCTCCCCCACTGACACCAACGATGGGGCACTATTCCTCCCCCCACTGACACCAACGATGGGGCACTATTCCTCCCCCCACTGACACCAACGATGGGGCACTATTCCTCCCCCCACTGACACCAGCGATGGAGCACTATTCCTCCCCCCACTGACACCAACGATGGGGCACTATTCCTCCCCCCACTGACACCAACGATGGGGCACTATTCCTCCCCCCACTGACACCAACGATGGGGCACTATTCTCTCCCACTGATACCAACGATGGGGCACTATTCCTCCCACTCATACCAACGATGGGGCACTATTCCTCCCACTCATACCAACGATGGGGCACTATTCCTCCCACTCATACCAACGATGGGGCACTATTCCTCCCACTCATACCAACGATGGGGCACTATTCCTCCCACTCATACCAATGATGGGGCACTATTCCTCCCACTGATACCAATGATGTGGCACTATTCCTCCCACTCATACCAATGATGGGGCACTATTCCTTTCACTGACACCAATGATGGGGCACTATTCCTCCCACTGATACTAATGATGGGGCACTATTCCTCTCCCACTGACACCAATAATGGGGCACTATTCCCCTCACTGACACCAATGATGGGGCACTATTCCTCTCACTGATACCAATGATGGGGCACTATTCCTCTCACTGATACCAATGATGGGGCACTATTCCCCCCACTGACACCCTATTCCTCCCACTGACACCAATGATGGGACTATTCCTCCCACTGACACCAATGATGGGGCACTATTCTCCCCACTGACACCAATGATGGGGCACTATTCCTCCCACTGACGCCAATGATGAGACACTATTCCTCCCACTGATACCAATGATGGGACACTATTCCTCCCACTGATACCAATGATGGGACACTATTCCTCCCACTGATACCAATGATGGGGACACTATTCCTCCCACTGACGCCAATGATTGGGCACTATTCCTCCCACTGATACCAATGATGGGGACACTATTCCTCCCACTGATACCAATGATGGGACACTATTCCCCCCACTGATACACGACGCAATGACACCAATGATGGGGCACTATTCCTCCCACTGACGCCAATGATTGGGCACTATTCCTCCCACTGACACCAATGATGGGGCACTATTCCTCCACTGATACCAACGATGGGACACTATTCATCCCACTGACATCAGTGATGGGGCGCTAGTCCTCCCACTGCAAAATTACAGTTATGAAGTAGCAACGAAAATAATTTTATGGTTAGGGGTCACCACAACATGAGGAACTGTATTAAGGGGTCGCGGCATTAGAAAGGTTGAGAACCACTGCTTTAGAGGAAACAAATTCATATTTCTGAAAAAAAAAAAAAAAAAAGTGTAAAACTGTGAACTTATCCTTTAAGGAAAATTGACATCTTTGCACTATTGTACAGATTTGGGATACAGTTGTACCACAAAAGGAAATTTGTGTTCATTATACACTGGAAATTGTATGCACTTCATTGCACTAATTTGTATTGTGTTTCTGCACTTTAGATGTAATATTAGTAGTATTAATTATATATGGACTGGTTACATAAATGTGTTTTGTATGAACAAATTTCAATGTAGATGCATATACTTTTCAGTGCCATTTTTAGGTTTTTATTAATTGACACATATGAAAAGCACAGCACGTTGATCTGTTCTGTTCCAGGAGGTGATGATAATGGAGTTGATAAATCCTAGTGTGAACCTGGGAAAAGGGGACTTCCCAAAAAGGAGGCTACCATTCAGCACAAAATCTTCATGCAGGCGCAAACTGAGGGATGCCTTTTGATTAGGGGGGGGGGGGGGGGGGGGGTGTCTGTATGTGGGACCTTAAAGAGGCAATTATTCTGTAGAAGAAAGATTTTGACTTGGGCCAGGTACTTAATAGTGTGAGGGCTGGAGGAGAGGCTTTG